CGCGGCAGGAAGAGGGGAAGGAGGGCTGCCCACCTGTCTGCATGGCATGAAGCCTGTGCAGCTTGCAGCCCCTGAGTCTGCAGTCCATGCTTTGTACAGCCTATGGATGACTGGAAGTTGGACAGCTCTGCCTTATAACAACTCATTATTCCACAACTGTCATTTGGAAGTTCTATTTCCTTTTTAGCCAACATAATACACAAATAAAACTTTAATTTGCAGAAGGCTTTGCATTAGTTTCGTTATTCGTGCTTAATGACTTGTTATATGTTCAGGTTATGTAAACTTCTCTCCTAAGCAATGAGATTATTTAGGATATAAAACAAAACAGCAAATATACAATCATGTTGAAATCATGAGATATTTTACAAGCAACTCTAGCACTGTGCAGAGTACCACTCATCTACTTTTTTTTGATCTATTTTTTTTTTGAAGTTTGCATGGACAGCTTATTCACTGAAAATTCAGACAAATCCGCTTGATTTTCTAGTCCAGCTAAAAGGGAAATGATAACTAAGAGAAAATGAACACTAAATAAAATAGAAGGGTCCACAATACTTTACAGAATTAAATTAAGCTTTAATCCAGCTCGAGAAATGATCATAAACTGTAAGAGTATATTTTCATATTACTAAATTGTTTTGCATAGAAGAGTCCAAATATTCCAAGAGCAGCATGAGAAGGCACTTCAAACTGTTTTTGTACTTTAGACGGGTAAGAAGGAAGCTGAAATGCTTCTTTAAACACTACTCAGTGTAGAATTGCAAAAATAAACTATTTAGATTCAATTTCAGATTTAGCTAAAAAACGTACACAGATATCTTAAACTGGAACTAGTCACAGTCACTTTAAGAAGGAGCCACAAAAACTGAATCTCTCCAGGGATCAGAAGGGGCACCCTTCCTTGCACAAAATAAAACAGAAGTGTAGCAACTGCATCCTCTGAAGATGCAACCATGGATTAGGGAAGAGGGGGATGCTATCTTTATCTAGCAGGACAGTCTGAAGCTTGACCTGGTCTCAGAGCCAGACCGTGAAATAAGGAAAGGTCCAGGCTCCCCTCCAACACCTGTTAAAAATTCTGGGGAAACCCCTGCATGGAAACAAACTGAGAAAAGCTACAGCATACAAAGACTGAAGATATAGCTAGATCCCCATATAAACCTAGCTTTTTGCCTAGACTTGCACAAACTCTAGGCAAAAGCCCACAGTCCAAAGAGGACAAATGTCTTGTAAAGCACAGCTTTTACACAGTAGTTTTAGGGGGTTAGCAATATTTTTACAGCATACAGCTGTTTAACCTTAAGCATGGGACAACTCCAACTTAGCGCACACCTTGGTCACCCCTTCTCCACAGTGCTGCTGCTTCACCCCACTGCTGTGGCCAAACTCTCCTGCTGACCAAGATACTGCAAAAGTCACCCAGCTCTGCAGGTTAGCTAAAATGGCTGTGTGCTGGATCTGACCCGCCACCCCAAATTTTAGGATTTAGGGAAATATTCAGGACCTGGATTAACACCTGTGCTCTGAAAAATCAAGACATCAAAATACCCCCTTGCTTGACACTCAAAGAAGTTATTTTTTTTAAAGATCTTTACTAGAGTTTTCCTTTCTGTCAGGGATGGGCAAAGGGCACAGGAAGTGAGAAGCCTTGAGTTAGACTCATACATCAAATGCAGAACATTACTTTGTAATGATAAAAGGCAGGCAAACAAAAAACCTAAGTGCTCATAACTGATTAAGCATGCTGTTTATGAAATCTTATGCCTTTCTTGATTAGTGAATAAAGAAGGTGCCACTCTGCTTTGTCTTCAAGTTGCCTCAACTTAAGATAACTGGCAAGGGAGTGAATGGGATGAGACATAAGCATTAATTAATATCTAATGTACAGTGAAGAGATCTGAATAAATCAGTACTACCTAGATTTCTGAAAATTAAACTCTTCATAACAGAAAATATGAATGGAAGCAATCATGCTTCTCTGATCATATGCAGTCAAAGGCCTAATCGTTTTCACTTTTGCATCTCCTTCTCCCACCCTTAGAAATACTGATGTCAAGCTTCAGTCTTTTTTTCTTAGGTGCCTAGATCACTGAAATGCATGTATACTGGCATTTAGATCCCTGGCAGACATTAATTTTTTCATATGATTAACATGTTAATCACACAGTAAATGGCAACATGCCACACGCACAAATATTTAAGACATGATAAACTGCCAAACCAACCACAAAATTATTTCACGTTAATATGGCACTTAACTTTGAACATGTCATGCAGACACCTAGCATATGCATCCCAGCCCAGCCCAGAAGTCTGGGTCTGAAGAGCCAAACTGGGGCGTTTTGACACTGATATCATGAAGCCTTGGCCTGCCTGCTTTTCTTTTAATGTCTCGGGACAGCGTGTGCCTGAGAATGGTGAGAGGCTACCCAATGTCAGGTGTAAAGCACTGTGAGAACTTTAAAAAAGCAGGCATATAGCCCACCTGCTTTTTTAGGGTCCCAAAGCAACGCGAGTCTATAAGGCCCTGGGGTAGCATGAGCTTAAGAAATCAGAGATGCTCTCCAAAGACAGACTCATGGTGCCTCAGGATCTAAACAGAGCACACATACATACAGCCTGGCATGGATAAACTCGTTTCTTGATGCCAGGCTGTAAGCTGCCAATAGGACCAGGACTGGGTGGGTCCCGGTGCCAGACTCTATACTGGCAGTCATATGACTGGGATCAGAGGAATTTTATGGCCAATCCCAAAAATCACACATCCTGCCATACACATCTGGCACAGAAGGATGCAGAGTTTTTGCAATCAGGCATCCATGTCAGCCATGGGGCCTTAATGTAAACACCTGGTAGATGTATTAGCTCCCATTTAGGCAAATGGAACAGTTCAAAACTCAAAGCCATTGTCTGTTTGCTCTATTACACAAAAAGAGACCAATTAAATGAATTATACTCTGTTAATGTTCTGTAGGACTTTTTGCAACTGTAACACCACAAAGGCTTACATATTTTAACAAAAGCTTAGATTCTAGAAGGCAACTTAGCGTTCTGTCTGTTCACATAGACATACTACAGCTTCTAAGCTGAAATTCTAGCAATAACTGTCTTTAGCTCATAACATAGTTAATTGCTGAATACTACACTTTTTAGAAACTGTCAAATACTGCTAAAAATGTTTCCCCGTAGAATTTCTAGTTACTACTCTTCTCCCTCCCAAATAGCATGAGTTTAACATTATTCATTAGTGCACAGAGAGATGACTCTAGAAAAAAAATCTAACATTAATAAACTAGACAGTGCAAACTTACCTCTGCAATTAAATTTGGCGGTGTCATAATGTCTTTCTGCACATCTAAAAAGAAATGTTGGCATATATTAGAATTCAACACAAATATGTCTTATGCACATCAATGGGGTCTGTGCCACCTTGAAAGACAATAAGCATAAAGTCAAAAGAAACCTCACATGGATCACCCGAACAGTTTAATACCTCAGCTAGATTTTATATATAAAATTTAGAAGATTTTGTTGTATGACATTTTCTAGCTGAGAAACAGTTGCTTACCCCACAGTAACTACCACTCTTCAAGTGGTATTCAGTGTTAATACCACTGCTAGTTCCCATGCAACATCAGATGGTATTTTTCATTGTTGTTTTTTTTAAAAGCAGCATTCACTAGAGCTATTCACACACACTATGCTTCCTTATACTCCAGTGCCAAGGCCAAAACAGTGGAGTGATCATGATTCTCTGTTCAGAACACATTAGTGGAAAATGAACTAGAATGAGGGCAAGATCATGGGATCCACACTGACAACATCTACAGAACCGTTACTAGAACATACGCAATTGAAATCATGTTTACGTATCAGTGCAGATCTCCCTGTAGGTGACTGACAAGCAGTACCCTCTTGATAAAGGGATGAACAACATCAACTAGATATCAACTGCAGCACTAGTCTCTCACTTCACATCTGCCATGGCAGTTAAGTCCAATGCATGATTTCAATGAAGGTCAGTGGGTTACTTCAGGTTCTACATTTGCCAATTTCTAAAATTAGTAATTTCTAAAGCATGTAAAGGATATTTCCTGAGCTGCACTGATGTCCTGTGGGCGAGATAAACCACAGGTTTACACCTCAAAGGAACACAATACAAAAAACAAACGAACAAACAAGTCTGTCCCCTGCATTTTTTCCAATGAGATGACCTGCCATTGAGAAAGACAGAACAGCCAGAACTAAGCAGCTAGATAGTCAGAGCTGTAGGGCTCCGGTGATATAGCAGATCCAGTGCAACTTCTCTCCTTATTAGGAGTGCACCAATAAAGATTTTTTGGGTCAGTACCAATGGCTGATTAATGATGAGCCGTATCAGCCAATACTGAACCAAATGCAGATATGCAAGCCTGGTAGATTGGAGAGAAATGGCCAGCTGCTAAGTCTGAGGGGAAAGGGCGGGTAAAGGAAGGGGCATGGAGTGGAGGGCAGATCAAGGCCCCACAGTGAAGGAGGGAGTGGGGCAGGGGCTGGCGCTGCCTAGTCGGGGCGGGGCAGGGCAGGGGACAGAGCCGAGAGCAACTTGTCTAGGGGGCCCAGGGCAGGGGCTCCGGCTGCTGTGTGCACCCCTGGCGGAAGTGAGGGGGCTGTGTGCCCCCTGGATCTGCATTGGGAGTGAAAGTGGGCTGCCATGGCAGGTTGGGGCAGCAAGCAGTGCCAGGCTCTTCCTGGCTTGGGGACTGGGCTGCGCTTGGTGGTAATGCAACATTGTACCCACCTCATAGCTCCCCTCCCAGGACCACTGCCACCTGGGCCAAGCGCATTCCCGAGGCCCCCCCGCCAAGAAAAGGTCAGTGCAGCCTGGCCCTAAGCACACAGCCCACCCTTCCTCTGCATGCAGATCTGGGGGGCACATGCCCCCATGCCTCCCCTGGGGGGAGGGTGTGCAGTGGCAGGAGACTTTCCCCCACACCAGACAAGTTGCTCACAGCTTCATCCTGCACCCTACCCCAGCAGGGCAGTGCCTGCCCCTGCCCCATTCCCTCCTTCACGGTGGGGGCTTCAATCTGCACCCCACCCCCATACCTCTTCTTCCCCAACAGACTTACCAGCCAGACGGTGCTCTCCAAGCTGCCAGGCTGCACTAATGGCTGCATGCATGTTTCAGCTGCCCCCATACACGCGGCATTTAATGGCAACATTATTGGCCACATCAGCCAAAAAAAAAGCCGATTGCCAATAGTGTCAATTGTCCTTTTATCAGTGTCAGTACGATATGGACCGATACATCGGTGTACCTGTACTCCTTACATAGAGAATGCTTCAGTATAAAGCACTTAGTTGGGTTTACTGCAAACCAGGGGGTGGATAAATGGAAGTATGCATTCTTTAAGTCAAGAGCCACAAATCAAACTCAAGTCCATAACCACGAGCTGACAGAGGCAAATATCACCCTGAATGAACAGAAATGATATGTACCTCTTTAGTCTTTCAATCTGCCTTTCTTCTAAAGGATAATGGATAATTCTATATTCTGAAGAATAAGCCTCTTCCTCATAATCCTCCTCTACTGTAGCTCCTACACAAAGCAACAAGGCCAACTCTTTTAACAATAAATAACTAAGAAATCTTTAAGAAGAGTCCTTAAGAGGTACAGGTGTGTGGGATATGTGGGTAGGAGAAAGAAAAAGGGTAGCTCTGGAGAGGATATGCACAATGCATTTGTCTGCTGTGATTATGATCAAGCCTGCTGGAAAGGTGCCAAGCAGATTCTGAAAATATTGGTAGGTTTTACATTTGTTGTAAAGGGACTTCCAATTCTCCCATCAAATCTGCTGTCATGGGGATGGTGCTGGCCTTTTCTTCTCAGGATATTTGGGCTCCCTACACTAAAATCATGAAAAATGTCTTTTTTGAGGCTGGTATGATTTTGGATAAGATGACACAGCACAAACTCCTGAAAACTGTAGCATGGCCCTGAAGTCTAGAGCACTTCATCTTCCCTATTATGAAGTTTCATCCCCTTCAAAGACCGGTTCTCCATGGCAGCTTGCACCTTTTCTGGAATGCTTGATACTAACAACAACGTGGACTTCTTATTCTAATAGCCATTGTCTCATAGATTCATTCACAGATTCATAGATGTTAGAGTTGGAAGGGACCTCAATAGATCATCGAGTCCATCCCCCTGCATAGGCAGGAAATAGTGCTGGGTCTAGATGACCTCAGCTAGATGCTTATCTAACCTCCTCTTGAAGACCCCCAGGGTAGGGGAGAGCACCACCTCCCTTGGGAGCCCATTCCAGACCTTGGCCACTAACTGTGAAGTTCTTCCTAATGTCCAATCTAAATCTGCTCTCTGCTAGCTTGTGGCCATTATTTCTTGTAACCCCCGGGGGCGCCTTGGTGAATAAAAACTCACCAATTCCCTTCTGTGCCCCCATGATGAACTTATAGGCAGCCACAAGGTCACCTCTCAACCTTCTCTTGCGGAGGCTGAAAAGGTCCAGTTTCTCTAGTCTCTCCTCATAGGGCTTGGTCTGCAAGCCCTTAACCATACGAGTGGCCCTTCTCTGGACCCTCTCCAGGTTATCCGCATCCCTCTTGAAGTGCGGCGCCCAGAATTGCACGCAGTACTCCAGCTGCGGTCTGACCAGCGCCTGATAGAGGGGAAGTATCACCTCCTTGGATCTATTCGTCATGCATCTGCTGATGGACGATAAAGTGCCATTGGCTTTTCTGATGGCTTCGTCACACTGCCGACTCATGTTCATCTTGGAGTCCACTAGGACTCCAAGATCCCTTTCCACTTCCGCGCCACCCAGCAGGTCACTCCCTAGGCTGTAGCTGTGCTGGACATTTTTCTTCCCTAGATGCAGCACTTTGCATTTCTCCTTGTTGAACTGCATTCTGTTGTTTTCTGCCCACTTGTCCAACCTGTCCAGGTCTGCTTGCAGCTGTTCCCTGCCCTCCGGCGTGTCCACTTCTCCCCATAGCTTTGTGTCATCCACAAACTTGGACAGAGTACATTTCACTCCCTCGTCCAAGTCACTGATGAAGACATTAAAGAGTAGGTTATGTTGGATACATTCATGGCTACCATCCGGTCTCTACTGATCTTTAGTGTGAAAATCCAGACAAGAAGGGCTTTCTTCCAGGCTAGGAAGTTGTATTTTACAAGCGGGGCATGGTAGTTTACAATATGGAGCTGGGCTGAGACAAAGGTCCATTTTTTCAGTCCTTTTCTTTTGAGGTACTTTTGTGAACCTGGATTCCTTTTGTACTTCTGCTGTCAGACTCAATTTGAACATGCATATAAATGTTCAAGGCCCTTCAGAGATACCTGGTGCTTTTCTTCCACTTACTTAGATGCAGAGTAAAGGGTGTCAGACAGCTTGTGGGCTGAATTCAGACTGCAGAACCACTATCTGGCCAGCCAGGCTCCTGGAGGGCCACTGGAAGTTGTGAGGTGAGGACTTCTGTAGAATTCAGGGCTCTTTGTTTCCACTAGCCATGACTATTGGTGGTGAGCTTGGCTCCTCACCACTAGACTCCTTCCTACTGGTGGACCTGCTACTGTCGTCACCCTGGTGGCTGCCCCCATACCCTGGACTGGATCCGGCCTGTGAGAAGCCCTGAAGGTGAGTCCTCAGGGTAACTGAAGTAACTGAAAATGTAGGAACATCTGGCTATGTACAGAATGGCCTAATGCTGCTGGGGATGTGGTGAATTCCCTACTCAAAATGTAAAGGCGGGAATCTCCTCCAGGACACAACAATCCCCTAAACGGAAAAGGTGTCATACTGCAAGAACACTGGACAAATGAAGTTTTGCTTGAGAAGGGGCCAAGAATTACCTTCAGTCATTTACTGAAAGTAGGAGTGAGAGTCCCTACCTGTTATCAATGAAAATATATAGCTCAACAAGTGTACTACTGGTATATTGTACTAATGATAGGCATTGGATTCAGTTTAAAGACTCTAGACAAGCTCATGCACCTCCACTGGTGCCAGTAAGTACCAAGTCCTCTCCCCTGCACCTGATATCAGTAGATCAGACCTGAAGCCAGGTTTCAGAGGCTGTCTCTCTGGAGAAATGGTATTTAGAATCCTACTTGAGTGACAGATGTTAATGACCAGGTTCATACTCCACGCAGCTCTTTCTGTGCCAAATTTTACTTTCAAAGGCATTGGCACCATATCTATCACGGCTACTAATGCCTTCTTCAATGCTTTCCCTTCTTTGGATTCCAGTGTATGACATCCGCTTGAGAGAGAGACATGGCCAGAGATCATTCTTTTGGCTACTGTCTGGCTATTAGTAATAATTTCTTCTAGGTCAAAAGTGACCATCATGGACACTCAAGCATGTAATTTGAGCAAAGCATTCCTGGACTTATGAGACTTCAAATAGAAAGTCTAGCACAAAGTATCTGTTAAGAATACAGCTGTTTCCCAAGCAGATGAGGCATCAATTTTATCTGTGTATGCTGGAATGAGGGTGTCATGGTAAGTCCATGGCAATGGGTCTCAACCTTTTTAGATTTAAAGCATTCAGTAACTTCCTAATTTATTTTTTGAAATGAAGTGTTGTTAATTTCACTTATTTTTTACTACAGAAAAACAGAGCAATTCTGTTCTAAACTCAGAAAGACCACAGGAAGGTCAGAAATGTTTTTGACACTATGGATTCATATGCAAAATCTCTACAGTTTATCTGTGAACGTGTCTCTGTACATCAAATGGTGCTAATACAGTATGGTACCCTTAAAAGAATTTCACAGCACCACAGGTCTCTGACAACTTATGCCTCTCATGAGGTGAAACAACAGATATGAAATACCTTGTACAATTTTAAGAGCACCAGACTCACGGCAATCAAAAATGGTTAAAAACAGATTGAAATTCTCAAGAATATAATGGGTTGGTAGGTTAAGTGTCAGGGGAACTGGTGATATTTTAAAACCTAGAACAGTTGTGGCTGTGTGTTGTTATAATGGGAGCAGAATGCCACAAAGGACAGATGCACAGCTCAACACACTCCTATTTACAATATTCTGACAACACATGCAGGGCCCACATGCACACCTACACTAGAATCCATGCTGACACACACTTTATGTAAAATTTGCACACTTTCATTTAGCGCTTCAGAAGCATTTATTTAAAAAGTGCACTTAGAATTTATTTTAATACTATTTAAGGTAGTAGCTGAACCCCTGCCTAAAACCCCATGTCCTTTTTACTAATGCCAGCAACCACTGTGTTTATGTAACCCTCCCTGCCATCAGAGGCAAACCCCCCTTGCAAATCCTACCAGTTTTACTGTTCTCAATTTTTAGGAGGTACCCAAGATTTTAAATCGCCACAACTGAACTTGCTGCCAAACTGGCACCTTCTCAGTTCTCATCCCAATAATTTAGCTCACAGAAATGAAGGCTAAAAAGATGACAACAACCTATTTCCAGCAGGTGGTAGCACACCAGAGGCAACTAATCCCCTTGTAAAGAATGTGTACACAGAAGCAGAAGGGGTCACATTAATGAAAAACTAACAAGCTCCTTGCAAAGCTCCTCCTTTGAGCAATTACAAACCGAAGAGGATGAGAAACAAAGATTAGATTGGGAACAAAATGGAAAAACACTATTTTTGGGGAGATATAAACAGAAGATAAAAATAGAAACAGGTTAAAAAGGGGCAAAATGTGAAAATGGAGCTAAATGGTGAAGATGCACAATATAAGTAACAGCAGCAAACTGGAAAAAGGGAGTTAACAAAAAGGAAACAATCACATTTACAAATATTTACTAGGAAACTAAAAGTTCAATTACTACAAACTATAATAAGGTTGTATTGGTCCAGTTTCAGCATTAGTTCAACTAAATCAATAATCAATTTAGATAAAATTGATACAGATACCTCGTGTGCACACTGTTATAGGAGTTATACAAAAAATTAAAAGAATAAGGTTACAAAGTCATGCACTCAGAAGTTCTGGAAAAAAAACATGCTAATGATACTACACTGTCTTACAGCACTGCTCTTTCCCAACAGGACTTCTGCCTCTTTCTTTAATGAAATGAACTACCTTAACAACTCAGTCTTGAGAGGCCCAGTGTCATGGGGTTGTTCACTACTGATTTTGTCTGTGGGGCTCCACACTATTCTCTCTTCCCATGAGGGCCAAATGCTGTGCTGATATACCTAATAAATCTAAAAAGCTACACAGATTTTAATAAGTAAATGGACATAAGGACATTTACAGATTGTTTATCATAGATGTAGTAGTATTCTATTTTAAAATTCTGTTTTCATTCAAGGGTGTAGGTTGTAGCCAGGTAGGTCTAAGGGCATAGACAGACAAGGTTCTTTGAGTAAGTCTGATCCAGGAGGAGCACCCACCAACCGCAGATGCTTCCTCCCCTGATGAAGAGTATTTAAAACTGAAAGCTTGCTAAGAAGAATTTTTCTAACTATCTTAGTCTAAAAAAATATATCAGATTTATCTAAAGGACCATGTCTGACTATTTTCATTCAATACATGGTTTTGGAAAAAATATTTTAAGCACAATTTCTCATGGTGAAACTCCAACCAACAAATGAATGTAGTGTTTTAGGAAAACCACTAAACCACCTGAATATAGTCTAAAGTTAAACAAGGAGAGAGAGTAAAATTGATCTTTTTAGAACACAGTGGGGGTTTTTTGCATTAAGGTGAAGAAGATTAAAAATTGAGCTTCAAGTATGCACCAACAAAAAGATAACCCGACTAAAATCTTCCACACATTTGAAAAATTTGTTGCATTAATGGATAATGTTAGAAAACATTTAAAAGAGCATACTGGCAATAAAAATCTCTCAAAAGCACTTTTCTTATTACAGCTCTTCATTTTTAAACCAAAAGTTCTTTTAAAAAAGTATCTTTTATCAACTTTTAAAGCACTGCACCCTTCACCTCTTCTAAAACTCACTACAAATTCTTGTTTTTGGTCATAAATTAAAATACAAACCGATCTAATGTTTTTGCTTCCCTGTTTTTCCTGTCACCATTTGAGCCCGTTTCAAATGACAAGCTTGATATTGAGCAGTTCATCACTGCCTGATCTTGTGAATGATATCAAAGCCACACTTCACTGAAACTGACAGTTGAACTCAGCCCTAAGAAGCAGGAAGAAATGAAGTTATATTTATACTATTTTGCATTCTTCCAAAGACCAAACTGGTGCTTATAAATAGGATCAAATAATATTTCAAGGGTGGGGGGCATGCTTTAGGAGGACAAATAGTCTTTGGGTTGATCCTGACCATTCTAGTGCAAGACCTATTTAATAAGGACGTTAAGAGAATCAAAGCAATGAAATTTAAAACGCAACCTGAAAGTCCTCAACTCAAAACTATCTACCTGGCTTTGATTTAAAAAAAAAAAAAAATCAGAAAGAAAACAAATGAATATTACATGCCTCTACCTTTTAAAGAAGAGACCAGCTAAGACCACAAGATTGCCACTTTGACAGATACCTCAAGATACCAATTTATCTCCCAAGTAAGCTAGTAAAAACTCTCATGAATTTAGCTCCTGAGATGGCAATATAAAATTAGCACACTCCCCTTACATGCATACGGGTAAGTAAATAATTAAAATTCAACAAAATGCCAGTATTAGTTGCCTACTGCTTATATTTACAACAAAACGCCTTTATGTACATATTTCTATGTGCAAGAACTATTTCAGTACACAGTACCTTTCAGCTTAACTATCTACCCTGTAAGGTAATTGGATGCTAGTTAAGCGTACAGAAACGGTGGAGAAAAGGCATCTACTGGAAGCCCTGTAAATGACAGGAGCGTACTGTACTGGTTTCACGACCATTTCCCCTGATTTTCAAAGGCTTTTAATAATGTCCCTGAAACTTACTGTTAGAAGATCTGAAAGTGGCAGGAACTAGTCAATGTCAGGACTGTTAATCCCAGAGCACAGAGCGCACTCTGTATTCAGATAAGTGCACAGCCTTTTCAAGTCCCAAGGTTACACGCTTACATAGAGTACACTGTATCAAGGGATTTTAGAAACACTGCCCCTTTTACGCTGTAAATAGTGCTAGCATGTCTTTAAGTGGTAAATTATATTCAGACTAGATGGCCTTCTAAACAGTTTACAAGAAAAAAAAAATCCAACAACTGGAACACATTCAAAATTTTCCAATAAAATTATTAAGTCAATTCCTACCTGCACCATTTTGAAGGGCAACCCTACTATATTGTTTAAAAAGCCATTCCATTCCTCATGTTTCACATGTTACGTATTTCTAATGTGTTAAACTAGATGTGAACACGAGACAAACATTTTCTTTTACTTTATTATAAGAACATTTAAACTTTTAATAGTTTATTGTTCTCAGTGTGACAATTATTGGGACTTGAACATTACACTGATATATTCAATTAATAAAAACAGAAAATAAAACAGAATTAAGGAAAAAGTACTATTTTGGAAAACTCAGATATCAATAAACCACAAGGATTACCCTTTTCAAATTCTTTTTCTCCCTAAATTTCCTATTCCCCACTTTAAAAGCACATACTCCAATTTCAACCAACATTACTGTAACATACATTATCTTTACATTAAAAAAAAAAAAAATGAAGGAACAAACCCATTATCAGATTTTAAAAGAAGTTTAAAACAAAAGGGAAGTGAGGACCAAAAAAGGAAATTGGTAAAATCCCACAAAGTGTTTTGATATAAATAGTTAAGATATACACAAACTACATAATTCATAGAAGAAAATATTTACTTGTAAAAATTAAGGTAACTCACCTCTGACTGCTGCAATAACTTATTCAAAATAGTACACAGGAATAACAAAGGACAGATACAGAAGCAAACAGAAGAACCTAGGCAATGATATAGCACTATGGAGATACAATAATAAGTAAATACATATTTTTCAGTTTCTCTACAAGATGTCATTAATATATTACAGAAGGCCTGCTGTGAATTACTTTTTCACTTCACCACATGGTTACAAGCTCTAGGATGGGATGCATGCCAAGTCATTTAAAGTAGATCAAGTAACATGAATCTATGCCAGCATTCCATTTAACCTCATCACTACACTTTACTAAATGAACTAACAGTGCTCTCAATCGTTTTTCTTGAACAAATTGTTTCAAGAAATCTGTAAAACAATATCTCAAACTGCCTCTGTATAGAAACCACTTTTCACTTATAAGCTATTTTTAGAACAGGGCATTTGAAAGGTGTAGACATAAGAACGTACTTACAGATTGTATATCTTGTAATGGTTTTTATGTTTTGAATCCAAAAACCTTAAAAGAGAAAAGGCAATGTATATGAATATATTGTTACTATTATTTCAAAGATACCTTAATACATTTCCAGTATCACCAAAATATTTTCAAAATTATTTTCAAACTAAGCTGAAGTTCAGGGTAATCCTCAGTATTTCTTGAAGGGGAAAACCAAACCAAAACAAAAAAAAACACACCCAAAAAAACAAGGGGAGGGGGAGGATCCTGTAACCCTTACTCATACCTGTAACCCGTACTCATACAAGCAGCCCCATTAATACAAAAATAAATACTTTTGTAAATAAAAGATAAGGTTGTCACTGTTAACTACAATTTATGTTCGGTAGTCACGCTTCATTGATCAGCAGTGTAGTGCACTGATGCTCAAACTTTTAGCTCCACGGGCCAGATGAGTGGCATGGGGCCAATCCACAGGCCAATCCCTTGTGGGGTCAGCACCTGCCCCAGTCCTGTGCATACGATTTAGTGTTCAGGGTCACACACTATCTGCCTGGCCTGGCTCCCCACAGGTCCGGAAGTCTGCCAGCAGACGAGCAGTAGTTAGCACTGCCACCACTCATTCTCCTGCTCCCAAATTTTTGAGCCTGTGGAGAGCTTGGCAGGCCATGTGAAACAGCTTCATGGGCCAAGCATTGAACACCCTGGACATACTATATTTTCAGCTCGTGCATATATTAAAATGTAAACTTTACATTTTTATAAGAAGGATGAAGGTTAAACCCAATATATTTATTGTGGAAACAGTATTTCCAACTTAATCGTACATTTCTAGCTTATTCGTACACTTGAAACATTTTATGGGAAATAGGTTATCTATTGAGTGATTCTATTACTGATGTATTCCATGAACCAAGAATTTAAAGAAACAGATTCTAAGAGATATAAATGACCATTATTAACAGATCCCTGACCTCCCCGACAAGGCCAACAAAGGTGTCTGGAAACAGCGAGGAAGAATGTTATGGTTAGGGACCTACTCAAACTGCAAAAAAAATGGTGGTTTTCACAGAGACCGCAAAAAAACAGCAGTTTCCACAATTCTGTGTAGAATCCCCAGAAAATAAAACCTACTTAAAAATAAAAATGCCCACTGGTGGGAGAGGTGGGAGAAGGGGGAAAGTGGGGGACAGGACAGGACACACCACTGGTATGAAGTGATGCAGCCAAGATGTCAACCACTCCCTTCCACTGCTGATTGGCTGAGGGCTGCCTTTCGGGCAGCCTTATCCTACTTTACCAATCAGTGGCAATGGGTGGGGCCACAGGAAGGGCAACCCTCCCCACCAATGTTTCAAGGGTTGGAACTGCTGTGATAAGTCTGGGAAAATGGTGGCTGGTGCTATATTCGGCCCATGAAATTGCGCATCTGCTGCCTTGACTTGGGCAGGTACCTAGTTAGGATTTTGAATCATCTCAACTAACACAATTTAACCATTCAACTTCCCTTCTGTTCTTGGAAACATAATCCTCTGCAACAGCCTTAAATATTTCAGCTAACAGCCCAAGGAAATTACTTAAGGGCTAACTTCTATATTTTATACTGAATTAATGGAGGAAGGAGAACGTACCCATTGTGAAGTTAACTAAGTCACAGAAGTCAGGAGGACACAGAGTTTAACAGTTTTCAGAGTATTCTTACCTATATCCTTACCACTGCTATTCATTAATGAAAATAAACTTTACATGCATACTTTTCACAGACCTCAGTTAAGACCATGTAAAGTAGACTTGCCAATCTGCATTTTCTCATGTCCCAAAACAAGTCTGGGGCATTAAGGTTGCAAAACTAAAAACAGATTTTTTTTTAATACTTCCTTCAATTGACATTTCTGTCACCCACAAAAACAAAAAAAAACCTGGTGGAAATCTGAGGCCAAATTTAATCAGATCTTTTTTCTTTAAGCAGCCCTAACTTATCCCAAGTTACAGTCAGCAGAAGAGAAAGCCAGGACCCAAAACCAGGACCCCAGATTTCTAGTTTTCTTCTCTTATCACCACATTGCTCTAAAATCCAAAGCTGCAAGTTTACCTGAAGTCCTCAACTATTAAAAAAGATCATGTTCCCCCGCTTTGTCCCTGACTGTTAAGATACAGCCTCTAGATTTCTCTCTCATTAAGCAAGGAGGAAGACAAAAGCCGTCTTCTCTACGCTGATGTAACAGAAACTCTTCATGCAGTAGCTCTTAGAAATTGAAATTGCCATGACTGTGTGTGTCACCTAGCAGTGTTCAATAAGAAATAACATGCAAATGTTTACACTTAACATCATCAACAATGTGTATTTGCACATCAGCCAGAAGGAATTTAATTAGCCATGGCAGAACATGCTGTTCAAACTGAAAAGAAACACAAGCTGCTAAAATCCTGGAAAGCTGAAGCAAAAACAAGCTCTAGTTATCAGTCACAATACTCCAGAAGAACCTAGAAGAACTTTGTGGTTAAACCGATGCATTAAAAAGTAAGAACAGATGTGAGTAGACATCGTGCAATACTGAATCCCAGACTGCAATTTCATCCATGGAAAAGGAAAAAAAAAATATTTCAGAGCAAACTACTACTGGCACCTTTGTTGCCAATCTCAGGGATGTCAAGGAACTCTGTCATGAAGGCTCATTCCTATAGACAACACCTAAATAAAGCTAGAAGGAGAACAGGGAAAACTGATTTTATTTGTGACAGTAATTTTAGTTTTATGGACAGATCTTCCATAACCAAAATTATCAAATTAGGCATTTTTAAAAACCCTAAATTAACAAAATACTCATTGCAGCAGTAGAAACAAAAAATTGAGTAGTTGTCTATGAAAAGAGTATGTTTCTAGCTACAGAGCATTTGCAATACGATACTGTCATTAGTAAACTTAACATGACAATGACACCAACTATTCAGAAAGTATGTTGGCATGTCCCTATACTAATTTATCCTGGACCTTGAGCAAATGTACCCTGTACATGAATTTTATGTAACATTTTATTAAACTCAAAGAAAATAAAGATTTTAAAAGTGAAAGATGGTTACTCCTGCTAAAATATTGCAAGTTAACGCATTTGTACAGTCATGCTTCCTGTTTGAAAATGAGGAACTCAAGATAATGCAACTTGGGTCACGTCCAGTTCCTCTGCAGCCATTTAATTCACACACTTTTCATATCCAGAAACGGCTGATTGTGTTATACTACTGCTTTGCAAAATAGCTGCTTTGCAAAATTAGTTCCTCCATGAACTAATACACCTAACTTTTAAATGACGGAATTCTATTCCATTCATCTAACTTTAAGGTCTAATTTACAGACAACATATTGCATTTACATACTTAAATAAATGTTACTTTTCTACATTCTAAAGTTATTAGAGTCAATGTAAAGAATTGTGTAGGGCTGTCAGTCAAAACCAAAAACACACTAACTACTTTCATTAGTATGCGGAGTAAAAATTTCATGTCGTGTGTGTGTGTGTGTGTGTGTGTGTGTGTGTGTGTGTGTGTGTGTGTGTGTGTGTGTGTGTGTGTGTGTGTGTGTGATGCAAAGACCAACTGGCTTAAGTGAAAGCCAGAAATTACTTGAGATCAGAAATGCCTTACGGAACACCAAGAAAGATCTGCTCTTTGTGCCCATGTCTCTAGGCATTTCAACACCATCAGTGGAGGACCACACAGAAGTATTCCACACGTGCTTCATGTGATATTCCCCCAAAACAAGGTTTAACCTATGCCATATGTAATGTCCTTTTCAGGGAACAGTCTGTACGGTATTTCACCACAGTATTCCCTAGCATAGTGCTCAGACCGAGCAGACGTGGCCATAGATATTGCAGACTGATACAAAGGGACAAACACAGGAGTTCTGTGCATCACTCCTCAAATACTCTCAGAAAGGTTCAAAACACTGGTGCTTCAGGATGAGGGTGATTCTCAGCTGGGAAGCACATAGAATAAGCTTCTCAGGAACACTACTTTCTAATCTTATTACTTCCATATAGCATTAAGGAACAAAAAGCAAAAATTGATGCAAGTGAAGCTCACTGAGCACTGCTTTAAAAGCAGGTAGTCTGCTATGAAAAGAATGATGAATTTGCAGCTATTTTGTCAGTCATACATCAAAGTGCTTCTTACTGCAAGTTTATTTTGCTTTCCACTAGCATCTTCTGCATTTCATTAGCCAGTACAGAAACTTGAGTTCAGGATGGAGAACACAGCTGTAGTCTCCATCCTGGCCCTGAGATATCAAGTCTCCAACGCTGGAACTAATGACAAAAAGTCTGATCACTGGAATTGCTTTGTCAGGATGATGCTACTTAATACAGTAAAGCTCTCCTATTTAATCTTGGTGTGTGTATGAAAGACCAGAGAAAACTCATAGAGGAGAACTTGAGATCAGCCAAGCAGAGACATATCTGTCAGTCTAGATTTTCTACTTGCTTGGCTAGAACTAGTAGCATCTCTTGTGCCAACAGTGGCACACATCTACAAGACATTTTTCACACCCCTGGAGCTGAGATCCCAAGATGAAGCCCTTCAGTGACCACTTGAGTACTACACTTTGTTCAACACAAGTCATTAGGAACACTTCTTTTTTTTTTTGCCTAACAAAAAGCAAAGTGGGTACGTGAATATTACCTTTACTCATATGCACTATTTTCACTTCCAAGAGAGAATTAATCATCTATCTGTCGAGTAGATGTGAAGTACAGTAATGTGATGCCTGTGAGTAGTTGCAAACAGCTCTACTGAGGTAGGAAATCATTTCCTGCAAAGTGGTAAATGCTGAATTCCTTTGGAGCTCAGCATGCAAACTGCATGGGATAGGTAAGTTCCTCACTGACAATCAGAGCAAATGTGAACAACACTGAAAATGGTAATATCCAAAATGGGTCACCTTTGAAGCCTGGTCCCTATTCTGTCAACCACTTCAGTAAAAAGAAGCCATTTTTCCAGAACACTGATGTCCATCTCAACAAGATTAGGACACACTTTTCTAAGAGATGTGGCACACGTCTATT